CGGCGCGGAGGGCGGCGGCTCCTCTCCGCGCGGCCGCTTGGCCCCGACCGCGACCGCCTCGCCGCCCATCGCCGCCCCTTTGGCCATCAGCACGCGTGCGGCCCGCCCGCCGCCCGCGGCGCCGTGCGAGAGGCCGCCCGTCGCCGCGCTGCCCGCCTGCACGGCCGCCTGGCCGCGGTAGACGCCCTCGCTGCGCTCCCCCTCGAGCGCCTCGAGGTGCTGCCGCCGCTGCACGCCCCGCCGCTCATCCGCCGCCCGCCTCTCTCGCTCCGCCTGCCACTCTCGCGACTCGAAGACGCGCCGCTCGTACTCGGCGAGGCCGCGGACCAGCACCTCTGCGCGAGGCAGCGACACCTCGCCGTCGGCGGTAATGTAACCGTCGAGCTCGCGCCGCGAGATCGCGTGCTTGTAGAGGGCGATCATCGCGTCGATCGCGCCGTCCCGGATCTCGAGCGCGGGCATGTGCGGCAGAAAGTCGTTGCCGACGAAGAAGCACAGAAAGACAAAGTCGTCGATCGCGCGGTGCGGCAGAAAGCCGTGCCGCACGCCGCTCCAGTCGCAGCCTGCGCCGAGCTCCTTCGTCAGGTACTCGCGAAGCACGTGCACTCGCAGCAGCTCAAAGGACGGACCGCCCGCCGAGGGGCGCCGCCCGCGCCCGCCCCGCTGCTGCACCTCGCGCACGATGGAGAAGCGCGGCTCGCGCCTGCGGGACACGCGTCCGGGGACGGGTCTCGGACACGTCCGGGAGGCGTCGCGTGGCGGAGAGGCGGGGCTCGCGCGTCGCGAGCGCGAGCATGATCAGGTCGGCGTCGAGGCCTAATTCGCAGTCGAAGGACCATCTACGTTGATCCATCAGCTAGCCATGATCAGGTCGGCGTCGGAGCCGTGAATCGCGTGGTGGATCGCAGGGCCGGCGGGCAGCCTCGAGGCGGCAGCAGCCTCCGCCGCGGCGGCTCGCATCGAGCGGATGAAGGCGCAGATCTTGTGCTCGCCCTCGCCCGGCACCGAGGCGTCCGAGAGGACGATCGTCAGCCCGCCGCCGCCGCCGATCGTCCACTCGCCGGCCTCGCCGCCCTCACCCTCCACGCCGCCTCCCTCGCCGCCGCCGCTCCCCTCGCCGCCGCCAAAGCGCTTGCCGTTGATGCGAGCGTACGCGTAGTGGCGCAGCCAGCGGCCGAGGGTCGCCATGAAGGGCGTGCCGGGCGTGATGATGTTTGAGTCCTTGAGCCCGCCGCCGCCGCCCTCCCCGCCGTCCGCTCGCGGCGGCGGCTCCTTGCCGACGTCCCTCCACTCCTGCTCCACCTCGCGGCGCAGCTGCTCCCGCGCGACCGCCTCGGCCGCCGACTTGAAGCGGCGCGAGCGCTGCTGGTTCATCTTCGCGCGCGGCGCGGGGCCATCGACCGCGAGGTAGAGCAGCGAGGTCGGCCGCACCACCTCGAGCAGTCGGTCTATGTAGGCGAGGATTGCGAGAAAGACCTCGTCCTCCGAGGCGGGCGGCGGGCCGTGCTCCGGGTGGAAGCACGGGTGGATGATTCCTGGACGGGCGCGGGCGGTGGCCGTGAGTGCGGCCGCGGAGCACGGGGCCTCGAGCGTCGCGGCCCGCCACCGTTGAGATCGAGGTACAGGTTGTCGATCGGTCCGGCGCCTGCGTGGCTCTCCTCGCCCTCCGAGCCGCAAGGCCGGTGCAGCCGCTCGAGCGAGAGCGGATACCGCTCGGCCAGCCAGCGGAAGAAGGATGGGACACCCATGTGGTCAGCCTCCTGCGCGAACGCGTCGCGCACTCACCGAAAGACGAGAAAGAATTCTTACGATTCCAGCCTCTCTCGACGAGAAAGAATGCATAGCCCATTCAAGCCTCTCTCACAGCACACTGGACGAGAAAGAATTTTTCCGTATTGCGCCGCCGCCAACCAAGCAGTTCCTCCACGTGTTCGCCAAAGTGCAAAGACGTGGCGGGCCCTAACACGGACCGGATTGTGTATGTGGCGGGGAGGCGGCGTCGGCGAGCGCCTCCTCCTTTGTCGTCCACCACACGCAGCAAGCAGATGTCCATGGCTACACAGTGCTCAGTGGGTTGCGGGCATACCACGCCGAGCGATTTCCGCAAAAATCTAAGAAACCACGGCGCGCCGCAGGCGCGGCCCCGAGAAAAGGCCGGACACGAATGTGAATGGGAGCCCCAGCTCAAAATTTCTCTTCGCCTGCCGGCCTGCGGCGCGCGCACTTGTCACTTTCCAAGTCTGCGGTGTTCTGGAGTGGAGTAGATGGAGGCGTGTGTGTGCGTCTTCCCGTCATCCAGAGAGCCGACTCGGCGGCAGACTCTGGCATCGGTTCGCCCTCGCGGATCGCAGCTTACCTCTTACCTAAAAATCCTTCGGGCCGGCCGGCTCTCTCTGGCTTGAGTGCCGGCCGGAGCTAAGAAACCACGGCGTGGGGTGGATGAGGGCTGTGGAAAGGATTAAAAACGGCGGCGTACACTGAAAAAGCGGGAGCAGCCAGCTTCCACTTTTTAGAAACCTCGACATGTAGTGAAAGAAGGAAAGAAAAAGGACGTGACTTAAATTGCGGGAAAGACATACAAGTTAAAAAGGAGGGAAGCGTGCAGAGCTGCATAGAGTACGAGTTAGAAACGGGAAGCAAATTGCGTGAAGGGGAGGGAAGGGGGGGTCTTGATTGAGCAATCTGAAGCCATCGCTCAGCCTCAGGAGGCAGGTTGATGTTATTGAATTTTACTTGAAAGAGGAAATGTTTTGCGATCGATGCCGAACCTCGCGCGCTGCCGCGCGCGACGCGAAAATTCCAGCGGCGAGCAGTTCGGTGTGGCCTCTCGGGCCACATAACACCGTGGATCCGAGACGGCTCTCTCATAGCAGCCCATAACATGTTATGGGCTGTTATGCCCCGAGAGGCCCTCTTCAAGGAGGCGTGGCGCGCGCGGCGCGCGCGCGCGGCGCGCGCGCGAGCTGGGCGGCTAGGACCATCGGCCCCGCGCTGCTCTTCTTTGGCCAGATGGCCGTCGGCCTGCGCAGCGGCGGCGAGGGCGTCGCCACCGCACTGCAGCTGTACTGCGACTCTCCCCAGCTCGACGACCACGCCGTCATTGTCGCCCTCGACTACTCCAACGCGTACTCGACGAGCCTGCTCGACGCGGCGGCGCGAGCGACCCTGATGCTGATCACGTGGGTCGAGCAGCTCGACGATGCGACGCGGACGAGGCTCGCCATCAAGGACGTGAGCGAGGTGGTCAAGGCGGCGGAGGCGACGCTGGACGACCTCGCCTTTCTGCGCACCCACCACGGCGAGGTGCTGACCGTCGTCAACGGCCGCCTAGAGCGCTTCGCCGTCCTCCTCGGCTTCACGCAGGGCGGCCTCTTCTCATCGGTGTGCTTCTGCATCGCCGTCTGCTTCCTCGTGCTCAAGCCACTCAAGGAGGATTTCTCGGAGATCGCGCCAAAGTGCATCGCCGACGACGCGCATGTGCCGGCCGTCATCCGCGAGTCCCCGACATCAAGCGCCTGGCGCGGTGGTGTCACAGGTACGTCTCACTCTCAATCCGAGAACTTCACCTCTCGGCGAACGCACGCAAGTTCAAGATCATGCAGTCGCAGAGGTGGGAGGGCACGGATCTCGACGTGGCGCGCCACATCAAGGTCTTCCCGCCGCAGATGCACGAGGGCGAGCTCAAGTATCCGACGGTGGTGCGCGGCGCGCTAAAGGTCATCGGCGTCGGCGTGGGCTTCGACGCGGAGGCGCGCGCCGGAATCATCATGGCGCAGGTGAAGGCGCACGAGGACAAGCTCAAGGTGCTCGAGCGGCTCACGCCGCTGCTCGGCCGGCAGACCTCTGAGCTCTTTGGCCGCTTCTCGTGCAAGCCGTCGACCACCTTCAACCACCAAGCGCGCGGCAACGAGCCGTCCATCTCGCGCGTGCCGCTCGAGCACGCGGGGGAGATGCAGGCGCACCTCTTCCGCACCATCACCCACCGCCCCCGACGAGATCCGAGACGTGCAGCACGACGCCAACTCCGCCGGCCCGACGGAGCGGCGGTGCGAGGAGGCGATGCACCTCTCGCAACGGCACGGCGGCGCTGGCTGGACGCACCCGCGGCTCGCAGCACCAGCCGCCTCGACCGGACGCGTGATGGACGTCCTCTACCTGTTGCGGCGGCTCGAGGACGTGTCGCCGCTAGTGCCGCCGCCGAGTGAGTGGGCTGCGTCAGGCGTGCCACTGCTCGCCGAGGCGATCTCCTTCATTGAAATGCTCGTGAACGACTCGGCGGGCTTCAAGCAGGGCCCAGATGAGGAGGCCGACGGCTGGAGGTTCATCCGCGGCAAGATCGTCGCGCCCGACGGCTCGCTCAACTACGAGGGGATCGAGCTGCTCTCGGGGCGCCACTTCCAGCACGTCGCCAGCGACGCCCTGCAGCAGGACATGTTCAACGCCATCGTCGACGACACGTCGGTGCACCCAGCGACGCGCGCGCACTTCCGCGCGGCGAAGCAGCTCGGGGCGGGCGCGGTGCTAGGCATCGACGCCATCGAGGACGCCGTCGAGTTGACGGACGAGGCGTTCCTCCACGAGGTGCAGGGCTACCTCAACCACCCCAGAGGCGCCATCACCCTCGCGACGCGGTGCACCGGCGAGAGCGAGAGAACGAAATTCGACTACCACGCGTCGAAGCTGCGCGAATGCCCGCCATGCGCCGTCGGCGCCGCTAGGGAGCCGCACATGCTCACACGCTACGAGCACTTCAACGGCACGCACTGGGATGGGTGCAGGTACGGCGGCCACGTCGGCGCCGGACACACCTCGATCAACACCCACGTCATCTCCATCGCCCGCGCCCTCGGCGCGGCGGGGAGCCTCCAGGAGGTGAAGCTCGGGCCCAGGGACCCCAACCGAGCCGTCGACAAGAAGTCCAACCCGAACCAGCGGGGGGACGGCGTCCTCGCGGCAACTGGACGCGCTCGGCACGCAGGATGGTGTTTGACGGCACGACCATCACCGCAGTGCAGTTCCGTAAAGGCATGCTGGGCCCGCTGGCGAGCGGCGCGCACATCACCACCGACTACGCCGAGAAGGCGAAGCGGAGTGCCAAGGCCGCGGCGTGCGCGGCCAACAACTACGACTTCATGACGTGGGCGTCGAGCACACGCGGCGGCATTGGCCGCGAGGCAGCGGAGTGGTTCACCACCGGCTTCGCCACCAAGATCGCCCTGGCGCGCTCCGACGGCGAGAAGTGGCGGGTGCGCAACGAGCGCAAGCGCCTCCTGCAGCAGCACTCGGCCATCATTGCGAGGCGCAACTGGGAGATCACCCAGCGCAACGCGTGGCCAAGGATGGGCGGCGTGACGCCGCGGGCGCCACCTGTTGAGCAGTAGTAGAGCAGGCAGTAGAGGTAGTCGTCTCAGTAGTGTCCTGTCAGGGCGTCCCGTGTCGGTCGAGCAACGTCTGTCGGACAGTAGGAGAGAATGCGTCGTGTGTCGTGGGGATCAGTCCTGTCTGAGTAGGGGAGAGACGGAGAGGAGAGTCATTGAGCCTTGGCACCAGCCGGGCAGTGGGTTTGGCCTTGGCATCAGCCGGGGGCGTGTTGTTGATTTGGCCTTGGCATCAGCCTTGGCAGGCGGGCACGCGGGAAATGCACACAAGCCCAAAGGGGCGCAGCACCGACCTAACCCGTCGGAGGTGGGGGGAAGGGAGTCCCCCGGGTCCTGCGTGAGCGCGAGAGTAACCCCAAGAGGGCTGAAGATGAGCGGTGCGCGCAGGGGTCGGCGTGGAGGGCGATGAACGCGCCGCGCGGGGCGCCGCCTCACCGGCCCTCGCCAACGCCTCAAAAGTGGCGCAGAGTGAGGCGGCGAGAACCGAGCGAGCACGTGAGCCCCGTGGCTCCAACCGGGCCCTTCCTTTTTTGAGCAGGTGTGCCGCCGCGCGAGCGACGCTCCGAGATCGCCCGAGATAGCGCGGCGCGGCGGCGGCGGCGGGGGGGGGGGGAGTGGCGTGGCGTGGAGCCCCGAGATTGCGCGAGATCGACCGAGATCGCGAGGCGCGGCCCGAGATCGCTCGAGATCGCGCGGGTGTGCGGCGCCTTGGCATATCTCGGACTCGGCGAGGTGGATGGGCTGGGAGCAAGGGGGCGGAAGTGATCAGTGCGGTAGATCGGTCAGTCGGGGCGCAAGCAAGAGGTGGCCGGGCCTGTGAGCCATCCGGCTTACATTTACCCTGCGTTCTTGCACATGGAGTGCAAGATACTCGTTCTGTTGCCGTCCCAAACTGTCACTCCCCTTTCTCCCGGCCGGGGTGGGGCGCGCGCGCGCGGGGGCGACGGGTGTGCGGGATTTAACATCGAGGGATGAATAATAAAAAACCGCGCTTTTTGGCTGCAGTCCGGCTTGACACCATTTGCCGTCGCTTCCACGGCCGTGCTGCCGTCGCTCCACGGCCGTGCTGCCGTCGCTCCACGGGGCGTGCTGGATAGATCTAGGCATTCGCGCACATGTGCCGCGAGGCAAGGCTTTCGGTGATTGGCGCAGACGTCGGCGGGAGCTCCGCCTTGCTCGCGTCGCCGCTGCACCGCCGCTTCCTTTTGGAGGTGCGCGAGCTCGCCGTCCTCGGCTGGCCGCAGACCGTCACCTCGGTGGTCGGCTTTGCGCCTCGCATCTTCCTGCTCTCGGCCGTCGCCCATCTCCCGGAAGGAGAGCTCCTCGTGGGCGCTGCGGGCATCGGGTCCATGGTTTGCAACGTCTCGCAGCTGATGCTGATCCGCTCCTCCACCTTTGGCGCCGCGCCTGGTGCTGCGGCGGCACCGCCTCCGGTCGTGGCCGCGGTGGAGGGGCGAGGGGCGGCAGGCGCTGCGAGGGTGGAGCGAGATTGTCAGCAAGGGCGCGCCCGCCGCCGCGATGACCATGTCCGAGTGGGCAGGCTGGGAGTGCACCCTCTTCGTGGCGTCTGGGCTGTGCGGCGGCGGCGCGGCGGCGTGCGCGGTGACGGCCGCCATCCCCATCTGCACGACGGTTTTTGTCTGCGAGTTTCTGCTCGTCTTTGGGTGGGGCCTCGCGGCGTGTAATCGCATAGGCAACTTGCTGGGAGAGGGAAAGGGGCAGGAGGCTCGCTTCTCCGGGGGCGTGGCGCTTGTCGCGGCCTCCCTCTCATCGATCACGCTCGCGGCGGTCGTCGTCTCCAACAGGCGGCGGATCGCAACCTTCTTCGTGGAGGGCGAGAGCGAGGAGGCGGCGGCGGTGCTCGAGACGACGGTGTCGCTCATGCCAGTCACGACCCTGTATTCCGTCCTGGCCACCCTCGCCCCTGGGTGGAGCCAGCAGGTCCTGTTCGGGCTCGGCGCCGACTTGCGTGCGCCCGCGACCCTCAACATATTCGCCTTCTTCGCTGTCGGCGTCCCGGGAGGTTCGCTGCTCGCCTATCGCTTCGGCATGGGCGTCCAAGGCATCTGGCTCGGCCTCGTCGCGGCCATCGGCCTCGTCGTGGTGGGGCAGCACGCTCACCTGGCCCGGACTACGGACTGGCCCGAGATGGCTCGCGTCGCGCGGGCGAGGGCCCTGCAACGGGAGGGCGCCGAAGCCACGGAGGGCGATGCAGTGGCTCTGGCTCGGGCAAAAGAGCCGCCGGACCCTAAACGAGACGGCGATGACGGGTTGGAGACTCTCGGTACTCAGTGCTCTCGTCTTTAACATGGTACCGACTGCGCGTGTAGCTGCGACATTGTGCTCTGTGTGTAAATTGGAACTACTCGGCCTGTGTTGTGAACGTTCGTCAGGTGTCTCGTGTCTGTCGCCCGACGGTCTCGCTATACACCCATACTCTTGTGGTTATGTTTTGCGCGCGGGGTGGCCCGTGTTGCTGCACAAAATACGGTACGAAGCCGTACGAGAGGGCCTTCAACTCTTGACACAACGAAGACCACATACGGCTCTAGACGGTGTGTGTATCGACGACGACGTGTGACGGTGTGGCGGACTGCAGCGTAGTGAGGGCTCCCTCGGAGACACCGCGAGAGGGCTCAGAGGGGGCTCAGAGGGCGGATCCCGCCGCCTCCCCCTCCCGCGCGGTGGGGAGCGCGGTGAGACTTGCGTGGTGTGGGCTGCGAGAGGGAACGGAGCGGGGCGGCGCACCCGTTTATTGTATTGAGCTTTTGTACGTATTAAGCTATTACACGCAACTTTTGTACTATAAGCTAAACGTGAATCCTGATCAGTCGCCCAGGGGCTCCATCGATGTGGTGTGTCTGTGCTGAGACCTGAGCTTGCTCTCGGTCTCTCGTGACGCACGGCGCGCGTGACGCCCTGTCGTCCTGACACAGACAGGCTTGTCTCTGACTCGGTCGGGGATGCGTGGGACGGGCGCGCGGCGTGAGAAGTGTCATCGTCTTCACGGGCCTGCTGCAGGTAGCCACTCGCCGCACACGCAACCGCGGCGCTGTCCCCATCATTCAGTCCCCATCATTCAGGCAACGCTCATCGAGGGCAATCAGCCCCGGCCGGACATGCGGCTCTGCCTTGGCGCCACGGATGGCATGCGCTCAGAGGCGCGCCGGAGCGATGGGCTCGGACATCGAGGCCTTGCGCTGCCGCTTGCTCGAGCGAGTGGCCTGCAGCTGGTCGCCAAGCGGCTGCTTCTGATGCGCGATGGGCTGCTTCTTGAGCGGCACGCGGAGCTTCTTGCGGGGGGAGGCCTCGCCGGACGCGGCCCTCCGGTCGCGCGGGGGCGGGGAGGAGTTCCAGTGCGCCACGGTCTCTGCATCGGAGGGCCCATCGTCGGCCTCGGTCCACTCGTGCGCGCTCCTCCCACTCCTTGGTCATGGTCAGCGTGAGCCACGCCGACTCCTCCTGGCTGCTCCTGTGAAGTCGGTAGGTTTCGGGGCGCCGCATATGGGCGACGCCCCACTCAAGGCGCCCTTGGGCTCGTCCTCGGACGCTCCGTCTGCAGGCTGCGACGACCGCCTGGAGATGGAGACGCTCTCAAAAGAGCTGGGTCGTCAGATCATCCTCAAAGGCCTTGCGGCCGGAGTCAGTGGCAACGCACTGCTGTCCGCACTCGGCGCGCCGCTCGGCGGCCCGCTCCTCGACGGCTCCTCTGTGGGTGGGGCAGGCGCGCCAGTGGGGGGCGTGTCGTGTTCGGACCCCGCCCCCTGCACTCTCGGGGCGCCACTAGCCCTCCCGCTGGCCGAAGGTGCTGCTGCCGAGGCGCCAGGGGAGAGCGAGGGGGAGACCTCGGGGCGGAGCGGCGTCGAGGCGCTCGAAGAGGTCCGGCGCGGCGTGCACTCCATGCTGCTCGGAGGAATGGTGTTCCGGGCTTGCTTCCATGGTGATGACCCCCTGCTCACCCACTCGCGCCTCCCTTGTAGGCGCCCAAGGGCCCGCACTAATGAGCTCGCACGAGCGCTCGAATCCGGTTCGTGTTTTCGACGGTGAGGCTGTGGTGATGAGGCCCGCGCTGGCTGGGGCGGCGCACTCGGGCGAGGAGAAGCCAAACGCCACGGAGAGACGCGAGTTCGGGGAGGCCGAGGAGGCAGCCTTTGACTACCTGGTCCGACCGCGCTTGAACCAGGAGACCCCCGTGCACAAGCCGAACAACAAGGTGCGGCAGCACGTGCCGGCGGAGCAGGGCCCATCCAAAAGACTGGCCTTCGAGTCGCACTCCGAGGGCGCCCCCGCGGGCGACGACTAGCGCGGCTCTGGCCCGGGGTGTGTGGGGGGGGGGGGCTGTTTAGCGGCTGTTTAGCGGCTGTTTAGCGGCTGTTTAGCGGCTGTTTAACGGCGGGGTGTACCTGGGCGGGGGGACCGGGGGCCGGGGGCGGGGCGCCGAGGGGGGGTCTCGACAGGAGAAGGAAAGGTCTCCGCGCATGCAGCAGCATCGAAGCACCTTGCACATCCCATTCCCACTCTTTTATTCTTGTGCGGGCTCAAACCCTGGAGAGGCGGATGTGGATAGTATGTGTGTGAGCCGGATCTGGAGCGGACATGCTTCTCCCAAACAATTCAAGGGAAATCGGTCATCATAAATTCAGACTCCGTAATACGCTCACAAGAGGCGCTGTCCACCCACGACATGTGTGGGTGCGAGGAAGGTGTCTAGGGCCTGTGTACTATAGACCATGGTATGGGTGCAAGTGCTCACAATGATCCCCAATGGATCCCACCGCTTGCACATCTGCGACACTCCCATCACCCCTCTAGCTTGACTCTAGCTCCACTCTAGGTCGACAGCACTCAAGCGCCCGGCGTTGGCTCCCATGATGCTTCGGGCGTGGGCTGCTGGGCGAGTTGGCTCTCCCGAAGGGCCTGCTGCGCCCCAACTAGCATCCACCGGACCGCCTCCTCGTCCGGTGTCGCCTGCAAGAGCACGAGCCGCGCCCACACCTGCGCCGCGCCGGTGAGTGTCGCGTCTGAAGAGAAGATGCGCGTCAGCGCCTCCTCCCGCTGCTGGCCACTGGGCTGGTCGCCAGTCCGAGCTGGTGCTGGCGCCAGCGCCGTCGCCGCCGCCGCCGCCGGTGCCGCCGCCGCCGCCTCCGCCGCCGCCGCCGCCGCCTCCAGCCTTTTGGCCGCGAGCTCGAGCTGCTGCGACTCGCGCTTCTGGTCCTGCTGCAGCAGCAGCTGCTGCTGCTGCTGCTGCTGCTGCTGCTGCTGCTGCTGCTGCTGCAGCTCCTCCTGCTTCTTCTCCATGGTGACCGAGAGGCGCTCCATGCGCTGTAGAAGGTCCTCTACTGTCGCCAGCCGTGGTGCGACGGCCGGCGGAGCCACGAGGGAGCGTGCCCTCTTTGGTGGCGGAGACGGCGGATCGTCCTCGCTCCTCGCCTCCTTGGCCTCCGACTCCTCCTCCTCGACCGTCGCGTGCACCACCGCGTTCCACATGTCGACGGCGTCGGGTGCGCGATTCGCGGTTGTGTTGCACATCCCCCCTTTGCCTTTGTGTTTGAAGCCGCGGGCGCAGAAAACTGAATAGCAGCACCAGTCGTTTTCCTCGCAGAGCTCCTGGAGGGACGACGCCACTGCACGCGACACCCTGTGCTTCTCGGCAATTTTGTGCACCGATTGGAAAGCTGTTGACGACTCCATCCTACTCGCTGGCTCGGACAAAAAACCATGCGTGTAGGGAGAGACGCAGGAGAGTGGTGGAGCCTTGGCACCAGCCGGGCACTCTGTGGGTTTGGCCTTGGCATCAGCCGGGCGTGTTGTTGAGTTGGCCTTGGCATCAGGCGGGCACGCGAGAAATGCACACAAGCGCCAAAGGCCAAAGGGGCGCAGCACCGACCTAACCCGTCGGAGGTGGGAGGAAGGGAGTCCCCCGGGTCCTGCGTGAGCACGAGAGTAACCCCAAGAGGGCTCAATAAGAAATAATTGTTCAGCGTGGATCAGTTCTTTCCGCCACGGCGGCTGGACCTACAAGCTGACCGCTATGGTGCTATCCGAGGCTGACGCTGACAAGGCGGTTGAGATCGGGAGGGCTACGATGAAACTGATGCTGAGCGAGCCCGCTGTCCACGGGGACGCACAGAGCCTCGTCGACTTTCTCACCACCGCGACGACTGTCGGCGCGCAGCAAGCGTTTGCGGCTTTCGGTCGCGCGGTGCAGCTTGCAGTCACAGAGGTTGATTCGTCGATGCAGCTCACAGAGGCTGACTGCCAATTCATCCTGCCTCTGGTGCGCTCATTGGCTGCCCGAGCGGCAAGCCCGGCCAGCCTCACCATAGAGGCACAGCACTTGGTTGTGCAGCGGTTCCAGGCGTGCTCTCAGTTGCGCGCCTTGGAGGCCAAAATGGAGGACAGCGAGCGCCAGCTGCGGGCCCTCCAGCTTCAGCAGACTCAGGCTGACTCCGCAGTGGCGGCCTGGCAGGCGGCTGCCCAAGACAGCAGGGCACAGGCCGCCCAGGCAGCAGTGGCCCGCTCAGCATCTGCGTCGCAGCAGCAGGATGCTCTCGGCACAATGCAGAAGGCTGTATCTACTCTACATCAGTACCTCGTGCAGCACGAGGGACTCGTGGACGATGCAGTGACTAAAGCCACCGAACACGCCAACCTTCTGTCTGACACCGAGGGGAAGGCGCAGTCAGTGCGCGAAGAGATGGTGCGGCTGTCCGACGAGCTGAAAGACCTGCAGACATCAACATTGGCTGCGAAGCAGCAGCAGCGGGAGCTGCTCCAGAGGATGGCGGAAGAGGCCCCCCCCCCCCCGACCCACACTTGACCCACCAAGTCACTCCGTCAGTTCTATCCCCGCCTTATAATAATCATAGGAGGCGCAGTTACGTGCCGCGATGGAGCAGCGATACGAGGCAGAGTACGAGGCGACGATGGAGGTCGACTGTGGAGTTCTAGCTGAGATACAGCCGAGATACACAGCGGAGATACAGCCGAGATGTAGCCAAGATCCGGGGGGGGTGGAATTTGGAGGTGCGAGATGTGGGAGACATGGGGGGATGTGTCCCCATATCTCCCCCCATCTCCCCACATCTCCCCACATCTCCCCAGGGTGGTCTCACTCGCCAACTTGATCTCCCCACATCTCCCCGCCGAATCTCCCCATATCTCCCCATATCTCCCCACATCTCCCCACATCACCCCACATCTCCCCGGGGTGGTCTCGCTCGCCAACTTGATCTCCCCACATCTCCCCATGTCTCCCCGCCGAATCTCCCCATATCTCCCCCCATCTCCTCTCCCCCCATCTCCCCACATCTCCCCGGGGTGGTCTCGCTCGCCAACTTGATCTTCCCCACATCTCCCCACATCTCCCCGCCGAATCTCCCCATATCTCCCCATATCTCCCCACATCTCCCCTGGGTGGTCTTGCTCGCCCTCGCTCGCCAACTTGATCTCCCCACATCTCCCCACATCTCCCCGCCGAATCTCCCCGGGGTGGTCTCGCTCGCCAACTTGATCTCCCCACATCTCCCCACATCTCCCCGCCGAATCTCCCCATATCTCCCCCCATCTCCCCACATCTCCCCACATCTCCCCACATCTCCCCTGGGTGGTCACGCTCGCCAACTTGATCTCTCCACATCTCCCCACATCTCCCCGCCGAATCTCCCCATATCTCCCCATATCTCCCCACATCTCCCCACATCTCCCCGGGGTGGTCTCGCTCGCCAACTTGATCTTCCCCACATCTCCCCACATCTCCCCGCCGAATCTCCCCATATCTCCCCATATCTCCCCACATCTCCCCACATCTCCCCGGGGTGGTCTCGCTCGCCCTCGCTCGCCAACTTGATCTCCCCACATCTCCCCACATCTCCCCGCCGAATCTCCCTGGGTGGTCTCGCTCGCCAACTTGATCTCCCCACATCTCCCCACATCTCCCCGCCGAATCTCCCCATATCTCCCCCCATCTCCTCTCCCCCCATCTCCCCACATCTCCCCGGGGTGGTCTCGCTCGCCAACTTGATCTCCCCACATCTCCCCAGGTCTCCCCGCCGAATCTCCTCATATCTCCGCGAGATACACAGTTGAGATATAGTGGAGATCAGTGTCTAGCCCCACACAGGCTGCATCTCAGCACACCTCAGCTGTATCTCGGCTACATCTTGCACTGAACCTCATCCCTTCCTGCCCCACTTGCTCTGTGCAGGGTTGCTGGCCCCCCTCGCCCGGGACGCCGCCCGGGATGCTTGTGCAAGTGGAGGGGGAGGAGAGGCACTTCCAGGTTGGAGACCGTTGCTTCATCCGGTGTGTGGGAGATGTGGGGAGATATGTGTGCTGGTGCCCCTCTGCTGCTGTGAACAGCGCCTCTTCACACTGTGAGCAGGTATGATGACGCCTTCTACCCGGCCAAGGTGGTGGGCTTTGACAGCGCGTCGAGCCAGTACTCGGTGCGGTGCGACGACGGCGAGTTGCTGGAGGACGTCTCGCTGCACGAGATGCTGCGCGAGGAGGAGGCGGAGGGGGAGAGGGCGGAGGGAGAGGGGGAGGTCCGCCGGGTCATAAAGACAGCCTGTCGAGGGCAAGGAGGCTATCTCGATGGTACGGCTCGCAGGAATGTCCCGGCACTGCTCGCCGGGGCACTGGTTGTGCTCGTCAAGGAGGGCTGCGAGGTGAGCAAGGAGGATGAGGCCTTTCAGTTGTGGGGGGGGGGCATGCAGAGCTCGTCGCTGTGCATGGTGGCCAAGCCTGGGTTCTGGGATACCTGCTCAAGGGTCCCACACCCGCGCTACAGGCAGCCCACTCCGCAATCCCCCATGCTCACACCCCTCAAAGGGGAGGACCTGCGGGGGCTCGAAGAGGACGCCTCCAAGGGTGAGCTGCCATGGGGAGAAGCAGGCGCAGCGCACATAAAATAGCTATTAATATTGAAATGCCTCCCTCTTGACACACTCGGTGCTACACCCAGGTGGAGACCATTCATTCAGTCTTGTCTTTATTAATATACACTGACATGATTTCATTAGTAATCAGCGATTCGCCATCGAGTCGGAGGCGCTGATGAGTAGTAGTTAGCCATTAGCCATTAGTAATCAGCGATTCGCCATCGAGTCGGAGGTGCTGATGAGTAGTAGTTAGCTGAGTCGGAGGTGCTGATGAGTAGTATTTGGCATTAGCCATTAGTAATTTCGCCATCGATTCGGAGGCGCTGATGAGTAGTAGTTAGCCATTAGTCATTAGTAATCAGCGATTCGCCATCGAGTTGGAGGCGCTGATGGGTACACTAGTTAGCCATTAGTCATTAGTAATCAGAGTGATTCACTATTGACTTGGAGGTG